ACCGCTACTGCTACTGCTACTGCTACCGCTACTGCTACTGCTACTGCTACTGCTTCTGCTACTGCTACTGCTACCGCTACTGCTACTGCTACTGCCACTGCTACTGCTACTGCTACTGCTGCTGCGGCTACTGCTACTGCTGCTGCTACTGCTACTGCTGCTGTTGCTGCTAGCCCGGGCAGGGCCGGCGGCGGACCGCTGCGCGACTCGGGACGCACTGCCGCCGCCCCGGCCGTGGGGCGAACCTGGAAACCTGTTTAAGTCACGTGTATCTGTATCTGGCGCTAGCGCCAGCGCCCTTCTGACTGAGGACGAGCTGCTGCTGCTGCTGGCGGATGCGCTGATGCGCAGACACATGGGGCGGAGCGAAGCGACCTTGATTTTCTACGCAAATCAATAGACCATTCCGATAAGCCGCGATAGAAGAAGAGGAAGAAGAGGCAAAGGTTTCTTTAGCGGCTTTATAGTGTCGTTTTGTGAATGATTTGCTGTCTGCTAATTCTTTGCAGAGAAAAATGTTTGGGGCTGGTCCGAGGCCATTCGAGCTTGCTCCACGCTACCCCCGAGGCACTGGCCGGGCCGGGCCAGAGTCAAAATCGTCGCACGGTTCAAAACGCACACCCAGAACCCACGAGGTTCTGAAATCAAGTAAATATCCTTGGAGCAAATCAATTTCCTAGACCTGTGCTGGAAAATGGCCTGGTTTAAGGAAATTTTTTACTATATTCAATAACCTCCTTTTTTGGGTGCTCGTATTACCTTGTGGGGATCAGCCACACGGAGCTGCCCACGCAGTCGGAAAGATGCGGGGCAAGGGCGAGGCAGGGGTGAGGCAGGCAGCCCGCCGCGAGTCTGCGCCGTGCGGGTCTGCCTACCCCCCGAGCCGCAGGGGCGCAGAGCCCGTGGGCCACCACCAGAGGCTACCGACGCAGGCTGTCGTTGAGGTGCGTGCGGAGTGATTCAAATGCATAAGGGAAGCGGCGAGCAAGCGAACAGTGTGCGTGGCTTCACGCACTCGCGCGGTACGGCGCCGATCACCATGTTATCAAACACACACTCACGAGACCGCGTGCGCGCTTTCGCTGCTCGGCCCTCGCGCGGCCTCGGCCGCCCGCCGCCGGCTATCTCAGGTGCACTCTATGCGGCTGATTGTACTGTTTTGAGGCGCTCTCGGGTAGGCCAGGGACAGGGCTACGGCCGGCTGGCCGGGCCGCACATCGCACCGTGCACGAGGTGAGGATGGCGGTAACCGAGGGGGGAATAACTCCGAATTCAAGTGCACACATGATTCCCGGAATCCATGATTCCCGGTGATTCCTATTGATTCCCGCAGTGATTCTCATTGATTTCCGTTGGTTTCCGCCGCGATTCTCATTGATTCCCGCCGATTCCTTGGCCGGTGTGTCCACATGATTCCCAGAGTTATTGCCCCCTCGGCGGCAACGCACCTGCACGTGCCTCAAAGTTAAACGCATTGGCTGCACCTGTCGTTTTACTGGTGAAAAGTGAAAAGAGCGTAAAGTCCACGGACTTCCCATTGGACTTACGTTAGGTCCTCTTCACTTTTTACCAGTGTGGTTTCTTTCTACCGCGGATCCTGGCTGCTCGGTTCGCACGTGCGCGGAAACGACAAGGCGACAGTTCCCCGAGTGCCAAATGACCAGCGCGGCAGAGGCGGCAGCGGAAGTCAAACGGGGGCCCAGCAGCAGCCCGACAATCACTGGGGAGGAGCAGCGTGTCGCCGTGGGGAGGATGAGGAGGAGGCCCCCGGTGATGACGGATACTCCTCACTTCCTCACACAAGCGCAGGCGCACGCTTCTGCCCCCTCCACCGGCCTCCCGAGGGTCCCCAGCAGCAGCAGCTGGATGAGCGGCAGCATCCATTTTGTTTCGTTTGAAATGTTCCCAACGACGCAGCTGCGCAGGCATGCGGCGTGACCACACACTACTGGCAAATGTGACCAACGTGCGTGCCAAGCCTCGAGTTTGAATCCTTAGGGGGATGCAGCAGCGCCCATGTGTGTTGAATATTCAAACGGCGCGCGCATTTAAGACGCCGGTAGGGAAGTTGGACAAGGCCGCGATGCAGCACCTGCAGCAGGGGCATCTTGGCCATGGGCACCGCCGCGACGCCACCGCCGCGTGTCCGGGCGGTGCCATGTTGGGCGCGGACCTGGCGGGGCGGGGAGGGCCCGAGCCGATGGCCGCCGTGGTGTATCACCCGCCAGAGGCTGTTATCACGTCACCGTCAGATTTTCGCAAAATATATTCGCCCAAAGAGGAAGCGCGAAGCGCGCGATTGGAACGGAACACGCGGAAACCAATAAACAGTCGAATCGAAAAACCCGCCAAAAACGGAGCCGCGCCGCAAACGTCCGCAGCAGCAGGAGACAAGTAAAGGCATCCACGTGACAAGGCGGGCGGGTCCTGCTCCTTGCCCTCCCGGGTCTCACTGGTTCCAACCGCTCCTGGTGTGATTGCACCTCATGGCGCTCGCC